AGTTCCGTCCAAATAAGAAGCTGATCCTGTGAATCAATTTTGCAGCTGCGTTCCTGTCTCGGTTTTTTAATGCGAAAGCATTAACTGGGTCCATCGAGCGAGCCGGCGTCGTCAGCCGCGCCAAACGGCAGATAAATTCTCGAAGCCGCGATCTGAGGCATCCCAGCGTTGAAACCACGCAGAAATCCACGCAAAACGGCAGTGATACGAAGCCGCCGCGCGTCAGTTCCAATTAGCGCCTCGCCATGGCGCTGCGCGTCCGCAAGGCAGCGGCTTCACCGCTCTAGAGCACTATATAGCTCCTTCGGAGCAGAGTAGCGCAATCTACAGGTTTTCCCGCTCATTTTAATCCAAGTGACGACCAATTTAATCCAAGCGCCATACAATTTAATCCAAGCGCCACACAATTTAATCCCGGGGTCAGTCAATTTAATCCACTATAGATAGATATATATATATGCACTCATTGGGGGTGTTCAGTGGTCGTGTTTCGCTTACACATTTGGTAACTTAGAACAATTGTTTATACAATTAGAATTTTTGGGAGGCAATTGAGAATTTGATCACTAATGTGATTACTTTGAGTTACTAGTCCCACTATTGACGAGGCTTAATTGATATGTGTGTTACTCTTTTGAGAGCGCAGCACTTAGGCACCCGTTTCCGGCTTAAGCGGCGTCGGCGTCGCCTTCGGCGTAACCACGCGGTGAATGATGGGTAAATTCCCCCGCTAAATTTAGCGGAAAAATTTCCCCGCTAAATCTAGCGGAAAACTTTCCCTGCTAAATCTATCAAAAAATTTTTCCAGCTCGATTTAACGAAAAATTCGCCCCGCTAATTCTAGTGGAAAATTTTCTCCGCTAAGTCTAGCAGAAAAGTTTCCCCACTAAATCTAGTGTAAAATTTTTCCCGCTAAATTTAGCGGAAAATTTTTCCCGCTAATCCTAGCGGAATGTTTTCCCCGCTAAATCTAGCGGAAAATTTTCCCAGCCAGATTTAGCGAAAAATTTGCCCCGCAAAGCCTAGCGGAAACGTTTTCCGCTAAATCTAGTGGAAAAATTTTCCCGCTAAATCTAGCGGAAAATTTTTCTCACTAAATTTAGCGGAAAATTTTTTCCCGCTAAATCTAGCGTAAAGTTTCCCCGCCAAATCTAGCTGAAAATTTTCCCAGCTAGATTTAGCGGAAAATTTGCCCCGCCAAGTCTAGCAGAAAATTTTCCCCGCTAAATCTAGCGGAACAATTTACCAGCTAGATTTAGTGGAAAATTTTCCTCGCTAAGTCTTGTGGAAAATTTTCCCCGCTAAACCTAGTGGAAAATTTTTCCCACCAAATTTAGTGGAAAATGTTTTCCCGCTAAATCTAGCGTAAACTTTCCCCGCTAAATGTAGCGGCAAATTTTAGATTTAGCGGAAAATTTGCCCCGCCAAGTCTAGCGGAAAAGTTTCCCCGCTTAATTTAGTGGAAAATGTTTCCCGCTAAATCTAGCGGGAAATTTTCCCTGCTAAATCCAGTGTAAAATTTTTCCCACTAAATTTACCGGAAAATTTTTTCCCGCTAAATCTAGCGTAAAGTTTTCCCCGCTAAATCTAGCGGAAAATGTCCCCACTAGATTTCGCGGGGAAAATTTTTCGTTTAATTCAGCGGGGAAAATTTTTCCGCTAAATTTAGCGGGGAAAATTTTCTGCTAAAGTTAGCGGGGAAACTTTTCCGCAAGTTTTAGCGGGAAAATTTTTCCGCTAAACAGCGAGGAAAATTTCCCGTTAAATGTAGCAGGAAAAATTTTCCGCTAAGTTTAGCGGGGACATTTTTCCGCTAATTTTAGCGGAGAAAATTTTACGCTAGATGTAGCGGGGAAAAATTTCCGCTAGGCTTAGCGGGGCAAATTTTCAGCTAAATCTAGCTGGGAAGATTTTCCGCTAGATTTAGCGGGGGAAGATTTCCGCTAAATATAACGAAAAAAATTTTCCGCTAGATTTAGGGAGAAAATTGTCCGCTAAATTTAGCGCGACAATATTCTGCTAGATTTAGCAGGAAAAACATTCCGCTAGATCTAGCGGAAAAATTTTCCGCTAGATTTAGCGGGGAAGCTTTTCCGCTAGACCTTGCGGCGCAAATTTTCCGATAAATCTAGCTGGGAAAATTTTCCGCTAAATTTCGCGGGGGAAATATTCCACTAAATATGGCGGGGAATATTTTCCGCTAGACAGAGCGGGGAAAATTTTTCCGCTAAATTTAGCGGGGGGAATGTTCTGCAAGATATAGCAGAAAAAATTTTCCGCTAAATTAGCGGGAAAAATTTTCCGCTAGCTTTAGCGGGAAAGCCTTTCCGCTAGATTTTGCGGGGCAAATTTTCCGATAAATCTAGCTGGAAAAATTTTCCGCTAGATTTAGCGGGGAAAATTTTCAGCTGAATATTGCGGGGAAAATTTTCCGCTAGATTAAGCGGGAAAATTTTTCCGCTAAACAGCGAGGAAAATTTCCCGCTAAATTTAGCAGGAAACATTTTCCGCCTAATTTAGCGGGGACATTTTTCCGCTAAATTTAGCGGAGAAAATTTTACGCTACATGTAGCGGGGAAAAATTTCCGCTAGGCTTAGCGGGGCAAATTTTCCGCTAAATCTAACTGGGATGATTTTCCGCTAGATTTAGCGGGGGAAGTTTTCCGCTAAATATAGCGGGAAAAATTTTCCGCTAGATTTAGTGAAAAAAAAGTGTCCGCTAAATTTAGCGGGACAATGTTTTGCTAGATTTAACAGGAAAAACATTCCGCTAGATTGAGCGGAAAAATTTTCCGCTAGATTTAGCGGGGAAGCTTTTCTGCTAGACTTTGCGGCGCAAATTTTCCGCTAAATCTAGCTGGGAAAATTTTCAGCTAAATTTAACGGGGGAAATATTCCACTAAATATAGTGGGGAATATGTTCCGCTAGACAAAGCGGGGAAAATCTTTCCGCTAAATTTAGCGGGGAAAATGTTCCGCAAGATTTAGCAGAAAAATTTTTCCGCTAAATTTAGCGGGAAAAATTTTCCGCCAAATTTAGCGGGAAAGCTTTTCCGCTAGACTTTGCGGGGCAAATTTTCCGATAAATTTAGCTGGGAAAAGTTTCCGCTAGATTTAGCGGGGGAAATTTTCCGCTGAATATAGCGGGGAAAATTTTCCGCTAGATTCAGCAGAGAAAATTTTCGCTAGACTTAGGGGGACAAATTTTCCGCTAAATCCAGCTGGGAAGATTTTCTGCTAAATTTAGCGGGGGAAATTTTCCGCTCAATAAAGCAAGGAAAATTTTCTGCTAAATTTAGCGGGGAAACTTTTCTGCTAGATTTAGCGGGGGAAAAGGTTCCGCTAGATTTAGCAGTAAAAATTTTCAGCTAGATCTAGCGGGAAAATTTTTCCGCTAGATTTAGCGGGGAAGCTTTTCCGCTCGACCTTTGCGGGGCAAATTTTCCAATAAATCTAGGGAAAATTTTCCGCTAGATTTAGCGGGGAAAATTTTCCGCTAGATTTAGCGGGGAAAATTTTCCGCTAGATTTAGCGGGGAAAATTTTCCGCTAGATTTAGCGGGGAAAATTTTCCGCTAGATTTAGCGGGGAAAATTTTCCGCTAGATTTAGCGGGGAAAATTTTCCGCTAGATTTAGCGGAGAAAATTTTCCGCTAGATTTAGCGGGGAAAATTTTCCGCTAGATTTAGCGGGGAAAATTTGCTCGTCATGCACCGCGTGGTTACGCCGACGGCGTCGGCGACGCCGCTTAAGCCGGAAACGGGTGCCTAAGAGCCTCGCTGTAAAAAGAGTAACCAACATATCAATTAAGCCTCGTCAATAGTGGGACTAGTAACTCAAAGTAATCACATTAGTGATCCAATTCTCAATTGCCCCCCAAAAATTCAACTTATATAAACAGTTATTCTAAGTTACCAAATGTGTAAGCGAAACACGACCACTGAACACCCCCAATGAGTGCATATATATATCTATCTATAGTGGATTAAATTGACTGACCCCGGGATTAAATTGTGTGGCGCTTGGATTAAATTGAGTGACCCCGGGATTAAATTGGTCGTCGCTTGGATTAAAATGAGCGGGAAAACCTGTAGAACGCCGCCTCTCGCCGACTAGCGGCGAACGCCCGGAGGTTCCAACTGCGGTCAGAAATGCATGGAGAACGTGAGACAATCGCTGTTTCTTCAGTATTGTGGGGGTGTACGGAGTGGCAATTGTTTTTGACATAATAATGGAACATTTTAGAATAATTTGCACTAAGTTTTGTGCCCCGCAACAACCTGACTTTTTTAAAAAAAATTGCTTGAGCGGCATCATGCAGCAGACGACACGGCGACGTCACACCATTCACGTGACCCGCTCCGGCCAACCCGAAAAGCCCATCTCCGCTGCGAGCAAAAATCGTCTGCTTCAAACGCATTGCCTTGGAAATCGCCTTCTCAAAATTTGCACACGCATCCGATATTATTAAAAACTTTGATAAAGTGTTTAGTGCTTTACTAACTTCACGACAGACTAGTTTTGAAAAGTGTGAACTCGCCGTTCATTTTTTAATCAGCCGTGTTGTATCGATCTCCATGTATTCTCCCATAGGGCGGGCCGCCTCCTGGAACCCTGAGTACCACGTGACTCGCGCCGAGCCGCTCTGTCGGCCATGTTGTCGGCAAAACACGGGGTTCAAAGGATTGCGCTACTCTGCTCCGTAGGAGCTATATAGTGCTCTACACCGCTCCACGCTCAAGGTCAGCGTGGCGAGGAGACCGCGCGCGCTCGACCGTCGACGCAAGTACGCCGCAGACGAAATAAGGGAACGAAGGAACGGCGTGCATGCTTTCGCATTCGCAACTCATAAGAAGTGCTTAGGTGAACCTCGAGCCTTTTTTTTTTAAATATATATTTTTGTTATTATTATTAAATGCATCACCACATCCACATGGACAGCATTTTTTACACCACGCTATTCAAACCGAACGTGGCGCTAACCTTTCTCGTCTTTCCTAGGGATTTGAATACTCGCGGTCCGGGAATCCAACGAGGAACTGCCTGGAAGAATGCCTGGCCTCGCTGGAACATGCCAAATACGGTACGTCCTGCAAACCGTGCCGTCCTTCTTTTGAACGGGCTGACTAATGGCATAAACTTGAAAATAAACAGCCCGAGAGGTTTCTCTTTGAACACGTGTCAAGGCGCTCGGAACCGAAAGCTGCGTAAGCTTACATATAGATCCGGTCGGGCGTGCTTCCCAGCCACGTTTTCTGAGCGGACTACACAAAACTCTATACTCGTTTGCACCTCAAAAACCGCAAATTAAAAAAAGTGCGGCTTTTTGCGCAACGTCACTCATTTGCCCCTTCATGTGTTGCATTAATATGTGTATATATATATATAGATATGGGATATTTACGTAACTTCAGCCAAGGTTTTAAAATATTTTGGTGCGTTTTAGGAAGACAAAGCGAAAATAATAAGTATGTTATTTGATTAAAGCAAGTCGGGCTATTTTTTTGTATTTTGCCCTATTAACTAGTGACAAAGTTGTAAAGCGCCCTCACAAACATCCAATTCAGTGCTTCTTATCCAGAAACCTCTAACAGAAATCCTTTTTTCGGGCTTAAACAAAAACACGAATTTGTTAACAGCGGTTAGTCAACAGTGCTCTATTCAGCATGCAGGACTAGTTTATTCAAGCCACGGCTGAGAGCGCTGCAATACAAGGTGCACATGCACAAAGTGACGCGTTTTTTTCATAATTCGCAAACTTTTTTTAACGCCAATAAAACAAAAAAAAAAGGTGCTAAGGTTTCTTGATAAAAACTACTCAATTGGATGTTTCTGGTGACGCACTACAACTTTGTCAGTTGAACTTTTGCTCTAAATAGAATATTTCAAGTTAATTAATTAGTAAATAGGACAAAATACAAAAAAAAGCCTGACCTGTTCCAAGGAATGCACAAACGCATCCGTTTGGTTTCGTCTTCCTAATATGCACCAAAATATTTTTTTTTTTTTTTAACCTTGGCTCAAGTTGCGTGAAATCATAGTCTGGCAGACCGTGACGTGAAGCGGCCTCCGAAAGTAAAAAGGTAGAGCGGCAGACAAGAGTCATGTACCGGGCGCCCCGCTGCGGCGAGACGCCGAAACACACTGGTCCCGAACGATGGAATGTCCTCTCGTGCTTCTCGCGTTCCTCGGGCTACCGCTTCTTTTCTCGTCGGGTTTAAAAACCACGTTTGGGGTCCTCGCCGCTGCAAAAGCTGTGCGCTGTGAATACCAGATTCCCCGAGAAATGCGCTACCTGATCCTCGCGCTTCAAATCTGCAACGGGGCACTCAATGGCTCCGTTCTGGTCGACCTGCTACGATTGGCCGAATGCTGACTTTGACGTCAGCAAAGGATTTCTCATCGACGGAAATAACAGGAATGTCAGAACTTTAATTTTGATGGTGTTAGCAGTGTTGATATAAGAGCGCAATAATTTCAAGCTTACAATCGGCTCATTACAAACACCATCGAACTTATTGTTCGCAAGGTGATGACGTCACGAGAGGTAACAACAGGGGGGCGCCCTACAATACCAAATTCTCCATACCACCATCTATTCTCTTCTTTTGCTTCTGCATACACATATACATGCATAGGTACATTTTAGATTAGCTTTATGTTACTTTCTCAAGACGCACACGTTTCAAACGCTCAAAGAATCGTTTGTTCCTTCGACAATCAAATCTCGTGAAAACTCTTCACGCAGCCCACAAATAATGCGCAAAACTTTCTTTTTTCTTCTTTCTTGTTTTCTGAATGTGACGCGTATAGATGACAGGCAGAGATTACGGGCGATCCAGAGGATGTTGCGAGACGATAGCGAGGTATTTCAAGGCAAATGTGTAATCGGCTGAATGGCACCCGGGGCTACAAAAGAGTCTCTCGACGAGGAAGCATCTCCGATGAATCCGAATTGCATCGATTATTATTCCCTTACGCATGCATGCATCTACGCCTACGACGACACTCAAAAGTGGTAAAAACGCCCGTGACTTCGCCGAGCTGCTTTCTGCACGATGTATCAGCAGTGTGACCCTGGTTCTACGGTCACAGCTATTCACACGAAGACAGATTCGTGAACCTTTGTAACGAGGAGTTCCGCCGGTGACATATGGAGCCATCCAAAAGCGGTGGCAATCGGTTTTGTCGACCGACGTTTCGTCGACACGTCGCTTCGTCGAAAGGCTCCTGCGTTTCGTCCTATCGACACGTCTTGCGACGTTTCGTCGAAAGCCTCTTTCCGTGCACGTATCGCTTCGGTCGCCGGCACCCTGACGGTAGACTATAGCTTGCCGAACCCTCGGCGGTTACGACGAGGCTGGGCGCAAGCTCGAGAGCCTGAGACAAATTGGAACCTTTCGTGGTTCCTTATACGAGGTGTGATCAGAAAGTTCCTGGACTGATTTTGTAGAGTAAAAAGACAGGGCAGCACAGTGAGGCGCGCTCAGCAGTCGAAGGAAGGGCCTTCGTGTCTCGTTATAGGGTGCCTAGATGTCTGTCTGTCTCAGGGGGAAGACATCCATTGTTGTCCGGAATGTGCCAGCGCGTGACGCTCTCGCGCACTCGGTGCGTGACTTGGGCGGTAAGATGGCGTCTATGCATCAGCCAGAGCTACGCGCTCGAGCTGAGTGACACCGCATTGCGCGCACTTCAAAATGCATGAAGAAACGATTGGGCGGAAAAATGGCTGAGATGTCACCACTCAAGCAAAAGCGCGCGTGTGTATGGAGGCACTCTATCTCGTTATACCAAAGGGCGCCGCTCTGTGAACATTTGGAGCTGCGTTTCACGAGTTTTTGTGACTACGTGCAGGGGCACAATGGCGATTTTACTATAGACTACAAACCAGGGCGAGAGCAAACATCAATTTTGCGTCAAACTCGACAAATATAAAGCAGAGACCTTCGATATGATTCAGCAGGCTTGTGTAAAAAAGCAGTGAATTTCGCGAAGTTTCTTAAGTGGCACTCGCGCTTCAGGAACGGCAGATCATCGCTAGAAGACGAAGAGCGGTACGGCGACTTTATCCGACCTCTTTTTGACTTCGGTGACTGTTCTGCCATTCTTAAGGCGCGAGTGCCACTCAAAACACCTCGCATACCTCTTTTTCTTTTTTTTACATAAGCTTTTTACATTATTTTAGAGGTCTCTGTTTTATGTTCGCTGAGCTTGACGTAAAATTGGTGTTCGTTCTCGCCTTGGTTTGCAGTGCATGGAAAGATCGCCATATCATGCTCGTGCATGTGTTCAAACAAACTAGTGTAGCTCAGCTCTAAATGTTCACAGACCGACACCCTTTGGTGTAATGAGACACGAAGGTTCTTTACTTTGACTGCTGCGCGCGCATCACTGTACTGCCTTCACTTTCTACGCTACAAAATCAGTCCCGGAACATTTTGATCACCCCTCGTAATTTGTAATTCTTTTTCCCCCGAACGAAGCGACGCGAGCGGTGACCACGCATTGCGAGGTCTGTTTGGAAGCTTCCTAGGATTAGGGCTCCTTAATTTGTTTTTGCTAGCTACAGTTTCGGTGAATTCTTCCAACGGAAAAAATGGATTCAGTATTAAAATCCATTTAGTAGAAAGAAGAAAAAAAAAAAAAAAAGAGCCCGTGTCGACGAAACCAGTTTCCACAAAACATCGCAGTGTCGACGAAACGAGTTCCCACGAAACGTTAGTGTCAATTAAATAATGTCAATACGTGTTACCACGAAAAGCGTTCCGACAAAACAATAATAATAATTGTGCATGTAAGAGAAGATGCAAACGAAAAAAAAAAAAAAAAAAAGTAGATGCTCCAAACCCATTCTATATTCACCAGCGAAATTCAACGTACGAAGATACATAGGTTTTACGGCATATTGGAGGTTCATGTTTAAAATATTTTCGGAAGCAGCGCTTGGAAATGAGAAGCGTGGGGTTTCTGTGTTCACTAAAATTGCTTCTTTCTTTTTTTTTTTTTTTTTTTTTTTTAAATGTTAAAATGCAATAGTTCTCAGAGGGCAGGCGACAGTGAACGGGTCGGACCGTGCCGTCTAGTGCTCTGCTCGGGAAATTAGCGGGGAAACGTCCCATAATGCAACGCGCGTGGTTACGTCGACGGCGACGCCGCTCAAGCCGGAAACGGGCTCCTAAGAGCTGTGCTCTAAAAAAATGTATGAGCAGTCGTGCCGTCTTTCTAAGATACACGACTTCTGTAGAAAAAATTAATTGGACGGTGTTTTCCCGCCGTATTTTAGTGCATCACACGATAACATGAATTACTTTGGGAAGACGGATGCAGTGTAGCATCCCGCCATCGGTGCATTATATACCATTTTCGAAAAGCTACGCTATATTCTGTTTCGTTGAGTCGGTAGAAAAGAACACACAGAGAAAAAGTGATGAACACAGTTACGTTGCGCTTTCGGCACTGTTTGGTGGGCTCATGGAGGTAGGAACAAGAGGAGGCGACGTACCGGTTCAAGCCAGCCAAACGAAAAAATCCCGAATGAAGCCGGAAGTAGAAGTCGCGGTCGGTGGGAATGCCCCCAAAGGTGCCCAAGTTCGTCCAACAGTGTCTTTTGGTTTTGGTCATCCTTGGGGGCGTAACCCTCACACCGGAAGTCTCTCACACCATCGTAATGAACTTGCGCGTTCCGCGGTGTCAGTTGTTCCGACATTTTGCATTAGTTCCGACCTTCTAAGGATTGACGAGTCACTTTCGAGAGATGCCTGTTAGCGGGGGGATGAAATGGTCGCGGAGGAAATTGTTCCGAACAAAGTGGTCCCAAACAAAATGGCCGACCAAAACAAAAAAGCTGCGGGGGATAAACTTTTGGCCGAAGTTACCATGTAGCTAAGCAACACAATCTACCCTTTGCAGCCCTGGTGTACGCCTCCGGCCTAGCGGCCACGCACAACGTGACACATCTGCTGAGCCCGGGAGACCACATCGTGAGCTTCGACGACGTGTATGGAGGTAAACGCTAGAACTCCACTTTGCGCACGCCGCACGTCACAGTAGGGAGCTTTAGGATACCGTTCCGATGACGATACCCGACCAGGGACTTCTCGTAGATCGCATGCAGAGCTTTGTCTTGCTAGCTGGAGCTCAAGCCTTCACTTCGAGCACGCGCTCGAAGGGCCCGGAATCCACAGTGCACGATCTACAAAAAGCTTTATTAGGGAATCTTAGTAGATTGTTCCGACGACTCCGATGACGATACCCCACATCCCACCGACACCTTTACACGTGCATCGGATTGTTACCAGGCGCCACTATCGCAGGTGTCGGAATTATCTTCTGAAACTCTCTCCATTGGCACGATGCACATGATGCGGCGGCGGAGTAGAGTGCATCATTTTAGAAACGATCTGCTAATGCTCTCTGAATTCTGCCTGCCCTTCTAAAGGGTGCTCAATGGCTGCTGTTCCTTGATGTTCCAGGCACGAACAGACTCTTCAGGGCCCTCATGGTCCCACGGGGATTCGAAATCACCTTCGTCGATGCCACCGACCTGAAGAAAGTCGAGGCCGTGTTGAGACCCACAACTAAGGTGAAACGACTGCGACACATTTTAAAGTGGCGGCTTTATATGGGTCGCCCTTTCCGGAGGCACAGTGGGGGACGGCGGGAATATCACCGGGGGCTTGTATCCCCCCCCCCCCCCCCCCCCCCCTAAGCCTTTTCGCGGCACCAGTCTGCGGATGGTTCATGAAAAAAAAAACCTTTTTGCCGTTCATTTTTGGAATGAGGCTCTCGTCTGACAAGACGCTCCAGGTGGCCACTAATGATATGCTTACTAACAAGGTGATGTTATACCTAGTATTTATCTTATTTATTTATTTGCCTTAGGCCCTTTCGGGCATAACATAGAAGGGGGTCCATATCACAAGAGCGAATGACATTTTAGCGAACGGCGACATTTGAGCGAATGGTCGTTTTAGCGAATAACGGGGGCGCGCGTTAACCCATCCGTCGCGCTGCGCTTTACGCCGCTTCGCGGCGACAGTCTACGGCAACTCATTACAAAAATATTATTAGAAGCAATACAAAGAATGAGCAAGTAGCCGTAACACACTGCGAGCAACGAAAAAAAAGGAAAGAAAAAAAAAAGGTAAAAGCCACGAAGAAATAATTCAAAGTTGTCATGGCGAAGCAAAGCATACAGAGTGATAATGACTTAGGCTTTTTCTGAGACAAAGGAAATCAAGAAGCCTAAAAAAGTTTGGTAATCCTGTATGACTGCAATGTTACTTGGTAAGGCGTTCCATTCATTTATAGGTGTATAATTTCATTTATAAGGTATATAGGAAGAGCATATAAAAATGGGCAAAGGGGGGGGGGGGGGGGGGGGGTGTACCACAGCCAGAGCTTGCCTCGGGGGCGCGTGTGGGGCCGGCCCTGACTCCACCTATGCCTTTGAGCAGGCATCGTATGATTATCGAATATCGTTAAAAGAGGTATCGGACTGCTGTATTTAACACTCCACTGTCAACAACGTAGCGCAGCTCTTGGTTTGATGTCATCCCGCACGCGACCAAGGATGTTCTGCTGCGCTAAGTAGGGTAGGAACTGTGTATTAGTGTTAGTGCAACTTCGCTGCATTTGATAAAGTGCCTAAGATACACATAATCCTGTCGCTCCTCTCGGTTTGCAGCTGGTCTGGATCGAGACACCCAGCAACCCTACAATGAAGGTGGTCGACATCAAGGGGGTCTGCAAGCTCGTGAAGAGAAAGTGCAGTGCCATAGTTGCGGTGGACAACACCTTCATGTCGGCCTACTTTCAGGTGAGCCTTCGGGGTTTAATTTCATTAAGACAATGTTAAATTTGGTATCAAAATGATTGGCAGTGAAATCCAAAGGAACTATCCTAAAGCAAGACCTCCACCCTTGTTCCTTTCAGAAACCACTCGACCTTGGAGCTGATATATCAGTCCACTCTCTTACCAAGTACATGAATGGTGAGCTTATTTGTTTTACTGGGATCAGCTAAAACCATTGCAAACTTGTTAAATTTGCACTAGAGCACTAGACCCAAAGAGGAAAGCTAATGCTCAAGCTCCAGCGCCAGCACTACTCCTCTCCATTAACAAATGGTTAGCTTTGAAGGAATTTCATGAGTTGTAATAATCACAAATCCATTTGAAAAAAATTGGAGCATTGAATGACGGTGTTACAGGTCCAAAAACAATGCTTTAGGGTTAAAGAACTTCAGGGACACTTTTAAGAACTATAATCAAGTTTCTAAATGTGCTTCACACAACAACCAAACTTCTCACTTTTTGTAACATCGATTCCTTCCAGGCCACTCCGACGTGGTGATGGGTGCAGTCTGCACGAGTGATGCAGAAATCCACGAGAGGCTACGCTACTTCCAAAATGGTATGATTGGTACTGCTCTGTTGCATCAGGGTGCCGTTAATCTTTTTGTGTCTTCCGCATCTCCCAGCTGCTGGTGCGGTGCCCTCCCCATTTGACTGCTTCCTGGTGAACCGCGGCCTCAAGACTCTTCACGTTCGAATGGAGCGCCACATGGAGAATGGTCTTAAGGTGGCCAAGTTTCTGTCTAGCCATCCGCTCGTCGAAAAGGTACTTCATCCAGGTAAATCTCAAATTTTTACTCAACCTTGTGCTGATAACTTCTATTGAAAAGAAAAGAAATCTCACAAGTTGTTTACATTAATGTTAGGCATAGAATATGCCACACTGACATAATAAAAATGAGGCCATATGGTCAGAGCGGAGCAAAGTAACAGCTTTCCCCTATGTATACTTCATACAAGTTCACTTGTCCAGTGATGTGTACATTTTTGTTTTCTGTGAAAGCATGGTGGAATTACGAACATGTTGAGCAATTGTTTTCAAGTTGCTTGTTGAAAACATAATTTTTGCTTGAAAGATTTAAACAGGAAAGTTGTGTAATCAGTTATCAGACCCTAGCAAAGAGATGTTGGATGCAACGTTGACAATGTCAACAGACTCGGCATGCACAACGATTGAAACATTCATTAATGTCGTCGTAACTCTGGCTGTTGAGAGGGCCGCGGTTAGTCTAGGGGCGATTGAATCTTGACATCAGGAAATTCCGTAATTAAGTGCTACCACATAGCATTTTCTTTTTCCGACGACGTTGGCCAACGAGTCTAAAAAACTTACCCAGGTCTTCCAAGTCACCCCCAGCATGAAATCGCCAAACGTCAGTGCTCCGGCTTCAGTGGAATGGTGTCCTTCTACATCAAGGGTGGGCTGGCAGAGTCCACAAGCTTCCTAAAAAATCTCGAGGTCATCATTCTCGCCGAGAGCCTGGGATCCATCGAAAGCCTCGCAGAACTCCCGTAAGAAGCAATGACCCCCCCCACTTTGAGAAGCTCGGTCCCACCAAGCAAATTCTATGCTCCACGTACTGTCGGGCAAAAAGTTGACAGCTCCTTGCAAACGGGCATTTTTTTCTTCTGAAAAGTGCTCGTCTGGTGTTTCGCGTTTCTTCAATGCAAATCAACTGCCATTATCATCTGTGTCTGGGTCGCACGTCTGAGTGAAAGGCGGAAACGATTCGCGAGGTCATGAACAGTTGGCCCTTTCAAAAAAAAAAAAATCGACATTGAACCAATGAAAACAAAAAGGAGCAAAGCGCCGTTAAAGGAAAAAAGGCCTTCCCACGTTCATTTCTTTCCTGCCTGCCCTCGCAAAAGCGATTTTTGCGCTTGCCTTTTACGGAATCCTCTCCATCCTTTCACCCAGACTACGGTGACCCAAACACGGAGAATAAAGGCGCTCTGTTTACGTCGATGAACTTCCCCCCTGCTGCTTTGAGTGGACACACCTCTGACGTTGGCACTAATTTGAGTGTAAGCCACCAGTTAAGCGCTCCTCAGAAAGCCTCCTCACATGGAGTTAACTTCTCGCCTGACTGTACCTCATAAGCTCTACAGCACTGCGCTGTTCCAGAACACCGACTGTTTCAGGGCTGTGATGACACATGCATCTGTGCCAGAAGACCAGCGTAAAGAGCTTGGCATCAGCGACAATCTTGTTCGGCTTTCGATCGGAATAGAAGACTCGGACGACCTGATCAAAGACATCGACCAGGCCCTCCAAAAAGCTGTGAGTGCTAGCGTGCGGTCTTGCCGACTTAGTAAGGTTCCTGCCAAATTTGGTTACCCAGTGTAGCTAGAGTAACTGAGTCCGAACCACAAGACACATAAGAAGTGTACAAGATTTAAGAAAGCTGCCCTCGCTTGTCTCTCAATAGACCCTTTTCAAAATTCAGTGCCATCTGGTGGCTCGAAAAGCAGTTTAACTTGACAAACTATTAATGGCAGTCATGAAACTGTATGCAAAGAGCAAGTCGTCTGCTTCTTGCACAGGGTTTGTGGTGACGTCAGAACGACGCTGAGCTCCGATTGGCTTTTGATTGGAAGGATAGTGGGCAGACCTCTATGCTAGATGCCTTGAGGTCTACCCACTATTTGTTTTTTTTTCAATTAACCAATAAGAGCTTGACGTTTCCACATCATCGCAAACCCTGTACAAGAAGCAGACAGACTTGCACTCCGCATTTCATCGGGCACTGGCACTTTTGTACGCGAATTGGTTCTTCGATCACCTTGTAATTCTTTCTTGATTTGTTTCAGTTTTGATGTGAAAATAACTGACCAGTATGAAGCAGTAACCAATAAGTGCCTCTATTCAATTTCTGCCATCAAAAGACTTTCGAGCTATACTTTTGTCAAGAGGTTGATTGGGCCACACTTCCAAAGTAAACGCTTGTGCAGCCGCTGTATCTGTAGTTTGTGCGTCATGCTGTACTGACACCTCAAAAGTACAGGCCTCGTACATTCTGCTTGGTAGTATCTACAACTTCTTCCTTCATCAGCCTCAAGAAGGCCACCATTAGTTTGGCACAGATGCCGCACACAGAGATGATGATAGTAATCAAAGCCGTCAGACTGAATTTCGAAAAGGGTCTATTGGTAAGAACCTAGTACTTGAGAACTATAGTACTACTACAGTACTAAGCTCGTACTGCAGTAGTACACCCAACCGACCGCTAATGTAACCCAGGAATTGCTGCAAAACATCAATGTTTTTATAGTATGCCTTGGACATGGAAACCTGAACATTACAAGAACCAGAAGTTTTTGAGTATATTGCTGTGTAACCAAATCAACTCGCGACTTATTAATCCATTTGGCAGCCATCAGCCTTGTTTAGAATTTAGCAACAATGATGATGATAACTCAAACACAAGATGATTGATAAGCTTGTTTTTAATTGAACCACATGAAAGATTGCATGGTATAGCTGCATGTTAATACAAGTTAAATTTATGACACAATGATGTTCAAACAGCAAAATTGTGAGAACATGTAAGTGGAGAATGCCAGTTTAGATGCTCATTCTTGAACAACCTTCTCTTTTTTTTCTTTTTCAGGTACAAAAGTGAGCGTCTCTCTCTGTCAGAAGAACCGGCATTAACTCCTTCCGTTTCAAAAATCATTAAAGAAAATATTTTTTTACCTGCAATATATGTACAAACATTCAAAACTTATATATAATATATCAGACCAGCTGACCATTGAAACCACTCCCAGCTGTGTATGAGGTAAAACAAATATATGTGACAACATGGAATTGTTTTTACACTTGGTAGAAATACAGTAGCACCTCATTGACACCTTTTTCAGGGGACCGGAAATAAAATGTACGATCCGGGAAAACGTAAGGAACGACAACGCCATTTGGATGGGCACTAGGGATGACAGATAGCAACTGTCACGAAACACCCTTTTACGTAAACATTTGACAATGAACTAAAATACAATCGGAAAAAAATTTGGCAGAGACACTTAACACTGCTTACATCTGGGAATCCAAAAAGCATTCCTACATGCAGCATGCCATGTCTTCCTTTTAACAAATGGCTAAGCATCTGCGTTGCTGTGCTTTTCTATGTGTTTTATTAAGAATGTGAATTTAGGTGCCGTTTTTCTGCTACAGACGGTTACAGACAACGCCGACTTCGCTCTTTGGGACAGTTAATGCTTTTGAATTAAGAACTTGTAATTTCCACCTGGCGCTTTCGGCGACTGAAACGCAGCTGAGCGACGGAGTCCTGGCCTTGCAAAGGTACGTTTACGGATGTCCTGGTTGGTTAGTCCCCGCACAATCATGCACAACACTTCAGTACACCAAAGCCGCAAAAAGCTCTTGCTGGATGACAGGCTGTAGTGCACCTGAAGGAGATCTCGGCGTGATAGGTGTTTGGACCTAGGCTTCCTTTAGACGTACTGGCAGGAAAACCAGAGCCAGAACGTGCAGCACGTCAGCTGGGCAAAGTCCTTGCACCTTCTTTTGTGCGTGCAACTAAGAACCACATGACTACACAAACTGTCAAACGAACAAAAATGAAATAAAGTGCAATAATGTGTTGTTTTTTACAAAAAAGAAACTAAAAAATATAGAGCCCTTTTATTTCACGTGAAGACGGAGAACCAGCGAAGCTGTTATCGTTACGATGTCTAGGACAATGCCTAGAGGACTTGCAGGACGACCTCGAAGACGATGCCTAGAAGACGACGTCTAGGACGACCTCGAGGACGCCACCTAGAGGACGATGCCTAGGACGACCTCGGAGACGTCTAGGACAACCTCAAGGACGTCGTCTAGAACGACCAAAGACGACCTCAAGGACGACTCCTAACACGACTGTCGAGAAATTTAGCCTCTCCACCCTGGTGGAAAGGCTGGAAAGGTTGCCGCCATCTATGAGCGATGGCGGCAAGCGGGTTGTCTGGTTGCCGCTGTCACTCATAGATGGCAGTAGCTGTCTGGAGTTTTGTGCCGACACACCGCTTGTCCACAGAAACAATACTGGGAAAACTAGCCCTTAACAACTCCTCTGTAAAAAAAACAATTATGCGCAAAAAGGCACTTGGAATTTTTAGTTCGCGCTTTTCACGGAGTTTTGGCAGGGGTTTGAAGGCCCGTTCACACTCTTTTGACCGAGTACGACTGAGAGAGACGAGATCTCTTAAAACTTCTTAAATGTTTTTAGAACGAGGGAACACACTGGCATTGTGGCACCATCTATGCGGTGACCCTGGAACTCCATTTCACAAGAGCGAAGGTTTTGCGGGATCTCCGAGGTCAAATGTGCGTAATACCCATAGAAAGGCTCGTTTACAACATTGACAAAAGTGTTTCGAGCCAAAAAAAGAAAGGATAATGCGCGAGAAATATAAAAAAAGATGCCGGACCGGCCGAGTTTACACTGCTTCCCAAAAGACTGCGCCAGTGCGTTCTCTGTTTTAAGAAGTTTTAAGGAACCCAGGTTTAAGAGGTCTCAAGAGTGTGAACGGGCCTGGGTTTGACTAAAGTGTTTTGTCTGGCAACAACACACCTTTTTCTTTGACAAGCAAAACAAAGATGGCACACGGTTTCCTTTTGTCCGTTCCATTCGTTTGCTCGTTCGTTTTGTCGCGCAATTCCCGGTTCTACGCGTGAAGGCTTCGGGAACTGTTCTCCGCCGACGCACTGCAGGATCTGGCGTTACTCCACGTCGGTGTTGAGAAACTTCTGTCAAAACTCTTCCAGCATGCCACGCTCACACCCTGTTTTGCACGTTCATCCAGCCTCTCATCTGGCAACGCCAAGGCCCAATGAGGTTGGGCAAGACCTTTTTGCGTTAGCCATGTATCGAAGTATTTGCGCGCAAGTGTACGGGGGCCCAGGACTCCATCTCTTCTACTCCGACCCTCCTTGAGCAAAACCACACTTGTGTTAGGCCTTGGGCTAGTAAAAGTAGTGGTGCTAGGCCACTCCCGGCGCTCCGTCTCGCACAGCACGTAGCAGAAGCACACTACAATCATTTTTCATATCAATGCGATTGCGCCACAACCGTAGCGGCAGACGTCACAATAGCTCTTGACGACGGTACCACTGTGCAGTTGTTAAAGTGCAACTCCGGTCGAAAACGAAACCAAAATAAATTGCTGGTATCGCTTTAGAGGCACAAAATATGATCAAATATGATCACAGCCAGTGGCATATTCAGGCAGGAGGCTTATGGGGCTTCAGCCCCCTCCCGAAATCCAGTCGACCCTATATGCATTTTTGACACCCCCCCCCCCCCCCCCCCTCTCTCCGCACCCCAAGTCATGGACATCTCTGCCACCTCAGCCCACCCCCTCAAAAAAAAGAATCTTGGCTATGTCACTAATCGCAGCCGAAATATTACGTCAATCTGAAGCCACATACTCCACTGAAACCGATTTTAAAGATGCAACCAGCTGCTCTTTAGCAGGCAGCAAGTGGGTTACCCTTTTAGTCGAGGAACACTGGCGCAGACTCCTGCGACGTCGCTTCACGTTGGAGCTGTGGTGGTTGTGTCGCAGCACCGTGGTGACGTCACGGCCGTTTGGCTGATCAGTGTTGCTGTCTTTCTAGCAGATTGTTTTTGTTTTGCCATACAAGCTCGAAACCAAACTTTGAGCCGCAATATCTATAAAACTACAGACAATATCGAAAAAAAGAATTGCACCTTGCAATTCAGGGACACTGCCTTGGCTGCAAAAAGTTGTAATCTCAAATTCGAAAACACTGACCGAAGTTTCCCTTTAAAGGGCAACTCCGCTCGATTTCGGAAGTTTTGAGATAGTGGGTGATATAAATGTGAAAAGTACTTCACAACAACCCTATACCGTTTGTCTCATTAAAAGCAAAATATTTTTCGTGCAATCTTGTTATTTACCATATTCGCAAACCGAAACTGAAACTTCGGCACAGCCGGGCAACATTGTACCTTCACCGTCAGTTGCATACGCACCCATGTGGAATACAAGGGGTCACGTGATCTACCAGCGGTAACCCAACAAAGACGCGGATGCGAGGGGAATGGTGAGGAGGGAGGAGGGAGGGCGGGCCTAGCCGCTGCGGCGAACAGGAATGCAAGCAACGACGAAGCAGGCTATGTAGGCGGCAACCCAGGCGACTAGTCTGATCCCGTACAACTCTCTCTCCCTCTTTTTGTTTCTCTTGTTCGCGTTAATTTTTTTTTTTTTTCTCTTTTTCTGACTCGCCTCTTTGCTTGCTCAGACCTGTTTTCTTGGTATTTTCTTTTCCAGCTCTCCCCGGAAAAGAAAAAACCAAGAAAAAAAACTGCGTATGCAACAGACGTCAGCCACAATGGAAATGCAACGTTGGCTGCGCCGCACGTCGCCTGCTAAATTAGCGAATTTTGGTGACTTCGCGCATCTTAGTTTTTGTCGGCCGGTTTAGCGATCTTTTAGGTGGTATTACGTTATAAAATTTGACATTCGGTCTCTCTAGATGACACTAAAGAGAGTCGCAGTGTTTTCTAGCAACCGAGAATGAAGCGGGGTTTCCCTTTAAGTGGTTTGGTCGATCCTCGCTGTCCCTCTTCGCTCCCTCCGTATAAATGCTCTTGGGAGGCGCACGATCTGTGGACGTGTCGTTACGCAATCAATTCATCCGCGAATCAATCCATCATGTGAACCGGCCAGCAGCTTTTTGTGCGCAAGAACCGGGAAAGCAAATGCACTAAGCAGGAAATTAATACACATGTTCCTACCAGGGCTCGGCCGGACCGGCGCTTCTGAACGTAAAAGCCGGGAAAACTCCAGAACTGGGAAAGTTTCAACGAGGTTCCACTGTACATTCCAAGCGTTAGCTCTTTTCCCAAAGCTATGCAAGCGCGTCGATTGCTCCCGATGCGTCGCCACGGGGAGCTTTTTTGAAGAGTGGTTGTCGTGTTAACACTCCAAGAACAATGTGGCCTTCCTTTGAAAACCAAGCTCGCTACCAAATACTGTGGCCACAAACTCCATTGCACTGTCCACAACAGTCTTCTCCACATGTTTCGAGTAACAGTGTTTCAGATCGACACACGCTCAATTAGCAATATAAACTGGCCTGCTGTCTCGTGCTAGCGCTCGGTAAATGCGGCGTGCACCGCCTGCAGGATCTCGGCTGCGTCCTCGACCGACGTTTCCGAGTTTGTGAGGTGGAACTGGAGACTTGTGAGCATCTGCAAAACAGATGGCAATCTGTGACACAACTTTCCTAGGCTATGCAATCTTATGTTATGCACTGATATAAGTACACATCTGAAAGCTTGCACATTACCACCCAAAAGTCTTTGACCACGACTATGATGTTCCCACGGCACAATGATCCGCCTTAGATCAATCGGCAGAAACATTCATCAAATAGTGCAACCCTTTAAAAAAAAAATAAAGTGCAAATTGCCATAAGGGCAATTCGAGGTGGTGTGTTCATTATATACTTAAGTAAGCAAAGGCTTCAAGAGAGAAACTTGGAAGCAAATTTTAAAGAAAATTTTGTGAACAGAGGAAACAAAATGCTACCGACTTGTCTGGTAAGTGTTATTTCCCGTCACTGCAACAGGAAGAGCACTGCAACTTGTAAGCTAAATGCCTTCATGAAATCTACCATTAAAAAGTGAAAAAAGTGAAGTCTTTGTTTTGTGTAGTGATTCACTTATGTAATGGAAAAATATCTCTCGTATAGTGTGAAAGCAAGATATATGGCAAAATCTCGGTTACTTGCGGAGTGCACTTAGACCATTTGACTTGGGCAACTGTCCATTGTAAGGCATGTGGGAGTGGCAACCTCAGCTAGACATTCCATCGAGGTATTCGATCCACAGCTAAAATTAGCGTTTGAAACATTGCTTGAAACGTATTACATCTGAGAGCCATTTTTACCAAGTCTGAACATGATTGCTATGCCATTTCAAGACGTCGTCATGAAAAGACCTCATCGCACCCCGTCCGACAGTTCGGCTGCACAGACCAAGTGAACTTCTTAGCCGTTTCAACTTTTGGGGGAATGTCTGATCCTCGACTGCTTAATTGTAGTCTCCAAAAATTGCATTTGTTGCCTTCAAAATCAAGTTTCAAAGACATAAACAAAAGGGGAGCAAAATTCTGAAAACTTCAGTGCTGCCATCTCTTGGCAGAGCTTCACGCTAAACCACGAGCGAGCCTGGTTCATCTAAGACGGCCCAGTGCGTGAACCAGGGAAAGCAGATGAGCTACGCTTGTGCTGAATGGTTAAGGAGTTAACAAATTAACGGCCCCTCAGAAGCGCGCCGCAAAAGATGCATGAACACGGATGGCTGCATACCTTGTCCAAATAGTGTAGAGGCGGCAACCACGGGTAGGCCTTGGAGAGACCCACTCTTGCTGGGTTGCCGGATATCCGTTTGACCAGGTCGTCGATTCTCCTTCTGACCTCCACGATACAGGAGGTGTCCGTCTTCAGGAGCTTAGGGCTGAAGCCGTAAGGCACGGAGCTCCCGCTGCTACTCGCATTCACTGGGAACGAGACGGAAACGGGCTGTGGTCGTCGGTGCACAAAGTTGTTCATTTTGTTGCAGCGATGAAACGGTACTGATATCGCTAGTTTTCGGCAAGGTTTCCGGCCACTCGATGGTGTGTGGAGCAAACCCAGCATTGTGAACTGCGAATTCAAGGACTTGCTAACTCATACCTGCCAAGTTCGGAGAAACCAAATCTAGGAAAATTTCTACGCGTGATGGAGGGGGGGTGAGGAAAGAAGGGGGGGAGGTTGCAGTTATTTAAAACGAAATATTGACAACAAATGTACATGAAGACAACTTCATTACATTTATGTTGTACTGCTCATCCTAGCGAGGAACAGTTAGTCTTCGCTATCAATGGGCACGTTAAGTCAACGCTCCTTTACTCCTACTCCGAGCGCAGCAACTAAACGGCGCATAGCGTACAAGAGCGCGACACACCGAGGCTGCGTTCCAAACCTACTTGAATGGCTCCGAGTTGCCCTGGCGGATTATGTCACGTGACAACAAAAAATAGAGAAATGTTGGACTTGGATAGGTTTTCGACAACCACCTTTACCCTAGAGTTAAAACGAGTAAGTTTAGGAACACGGCCAGAAACTATCAACGAGCCACACGAGCTCCTTCCGACCGTGAATATAGGTGGCAGAAGCCGAAAATATTTCGAAGATATATAATTAGGCCCGTGTGGAGCGGCAGAGTCTAAAGCAAAAGAGACAGCAACGTTATAAAGTTTCTACAAATGCTTTAATATTCCTGAAAGGTTTGAAGACTCGTTTCGTGCACATACGTGGAAGCTGGAAAGATTACCTTGGCCGATCTATTTACTGACCACGCATGCTGTTCCGATTTAAATTAAAGACAACATTCTTGAACCCGCTTGTCGACGCAGGAAACCCCCAAATTTGTCAGAGATTCCCTCGGTCCGTCGGTTCCGTCTCACAGCGAGACGCAGCGAGACTGACACCGTCGTTCGATAGCACGTCAATTCGTTTTTAGGTGGTATGCATGAACAAACCTTTCCCGCAACGCTAACTGGTGTTTCGGCTTTCCAATCTAAGTATCTTTATTCGCTGCGGCTGGGCTAAGCATTCTAAGCAGGGCAGCGGCCTGACTGCCTTTTCATCACACCTTTTCTGTCGCCGAGCTATCAACACCTCGTTCGATAGATGAATTCATTTTCAGGCAAGATGCACGGACAAACCTTTTCTTCGACACTCACTGAAGTTTCGGCTTTCAAATCGAAGTATCTTTATTCGCTGTGCTAAGCATTATAAAACGGACAGAGCGGTCCGAATCTCCTCATCTCGACAACTTTTCTGTCGCTGTGCTATCGGCACGCTACCGTTTGACAGATGAATTTCTTTTTCAGGAGAGATGCACAAACAAACCTTTTCCAGAACGCTAATCGCTGTCTTGGCTTTCAAATCAAATTGTTCTTACCGGCTGAATTAAGCACTAATCAACTGAAAAGGGGCAGCGGTCCGGCTACGCCTCTCATCTCGACGGTCTCAACACCAGCGCAGCCATCTTGTTTGTTTACACGACGTCACGGAGCGCGAAGGAGTCACTCGCGCTCCGAGAAATTTTCGGACAGGAGTGCGCGGTGGCACTCCTGTCCGTTTAGTGAAAGGAGTGCCAAACTCTCGCGCTCCGGAGCACGGACTTAGTGCGCCCAATGCAGCCATTTGTTGCGATGGCAAAAACTCGTGTAAATGCGAGGAGAGGGGGGGGGAGAATTTGCGTTTTCTGGGAGATATTCCTGTCAATCGTAACACCATACAAATTGGTCAAATTAGAGAATCTCCCCGGTAACAAAGGAGACTTGGCAGGTATGCTAACTTGCGCTTCTACTGCAGAGACACTACAAGTTACGACAGGAAACAGCAAAAAGGCACATTAATCATATGGAGACTCTTGGCTGTTGCAGTCATTACGCACGAGATCGCTGGTCTCAATTACGATCTCGTGCAACAAATATTTTAAATGGCTCGCACAACATCTCCTGTTCGTTGTGGTACCAGGCACATTGCTTTGCTATGTGTGCCTTCTATAGTGTGCAGCAGCGACTGAGTAAAGCGTGCTAGATAACTAGCACGAAGTATGTGCACGAGCCCCTTACTTTACAGCCCTCAATTTGGGCTACTTTGAAAATTCCATCAGGCTCTGGAATGCATGCATCTCGTACAGCAAGCTTCGCTCGGCTAACTAAAAAAAATCTAAGTCTTTAGCGAATTTCCAAAAAACTTTGTGACAGAGAAATTGTAATTAAACAGCACAAAACGTCTTCCGACTAATTTTTGAAAAAAACTTTCAGGCCCATTCACACACTGGTGTTTGCTTACGACTGAGTTCTCGTTATCTCTCGCAACAAGCCAACACACTTAAAGCCCCTTCATGTTTCGAAAATAGCGCAAGGTGTGTAGATGCACGAGGCACGTGCAATGTGCAGCCCTTGGGGAGATCATAGCAGCACAACGCAGCACTGAGCTAGATTTCAGACGTTATGTTCTTCCCAGAAGTAACGTACGGCACGCGTCTCGAGCCTTTCCACAACAACGAATGGCGCCATGTTTCCCAGGATAGAAGGGTTTTAGAACACACCGGCACGCAGGCGCCATTTGTGAGGCAACCCTGGAACCGCATTTCACTAGGGCGAAGGTTTTGTAGCATTTGCGAGATCAAATGTTGACTTCACCGTTGACCGGGCTTCCCGATATCCAAAGTTTTGCTGCGGCAGACGCCATGTCAACTTCCCGACAAGAGCACTCACCGGAAGCGCCGTGGTGGCCGTCCCCCACGACCCACCACTTGGCCTTGGTGACAAGGCTCTTGGCGATGGTGGCCTGGGGTGCGGCGGCGTTGAGCGGGAGGTAGGGACTCAGAATGGCCGCCACGAAGGGGCGCCCCTGCCCCGAGAACATGGCCTGGTAGTCTCGCTGGGTGGTGACGTCCCGCACCGAAGGGTTGGGCACGAACGTCGGGTGCGAGTGGTACCAGCCCACCACGTCGTAGCCCTTGCCCATCAGGCACTCCATGGAGAGCGTCTGCGAGACTGGTGGCATGGGGGGGTCAACGTCTCAGACCGCAAAGGAGTTGCGGGCACCGTGCCAGGAATGTGCGTATGACTGGCGCGATTTACTGCGTCTAACGTCTGCCCAAGTTCCGTCCAGTCATGGAGGTAGGAAGCTTCTAGAGGTGACATGAGGCCACCAGAGGCGATGCCAGAACTGCGGTGAAACACGCAACCAACGACAACCAAAACCCAAAAGACGCTATTGAATGAGAAGGAGAGCCGACTTGGCACCAACGGCTGTTTCGGTGGCTCGAAGGTGACCGAAATAGCTGTTGGCGCTTTGGGGGCATGTGGTAGCCTCGTGTTTTTTCCAGAAGCTTCCTACCTCCATGGTCGCAAGCGTGCGTTGTGTCCGATCGTTGCGGTACTTGAAGGCCTCGAGTGTTTCCCGTAGGCCACGGCCAGAAGGCTGCGTCTTAATGGGCAAACAAGATTCTCTAGTGCCGCAACCGTCTACGGGCATGGCCGACAGAGATTACGGCAGCCACTACTTTAGTGGGTGACTGCAGCTATCGTGCCTGCTACACAATTTCTTGTTTCTTTTTGGACACTTTGAATGCATTGAGGATGCTCGATGGGTAAGCAGACGAGCCAGAGATGTTTTTCGGTACAGTGGGGAGAGCATTGCTGACTTAGAGCTACTGGATGTTTCGAGAGTGTCTCGTCGAATCCGTGCGCCAAGGACAAAGTCCACCGCAATCATTAAAATGAGTCCGTCGTGCAATCGCATAAGCCAAACTGAAGCAATGGAAGGATACTAAATATTCGGTTTCCAGACCGCAGCGGGCGCACTGGATCAACCAGAGCCCCACATCCGTCTGCAGTCTTAACGCGGCTAATGGGGACCGGCCATTACAGCTGTTCTGTGTAATCCGGTAGAACCCTGTCATGAAAGTGGGCACAATAAAGTCGCACGCTGAGTCACTTGCATCTCTAGCCACTTGTAACATCTATCAAGATGCACTGCATGACACTTTGTTTCAGGAAATGTTCGGCCTGTGCATTTAGACGTGCTTTACTTTGGCAGTATGTATTTCTTCCTTGAAGCTGCACAAGCTTGATGGAGAGAAGCAGAAAACAGACTTGTTCCTCGTCCTTTCGGATCCTTTTTACAGCAATCTCCAGTTGCCTATCTACATTAGCTGCTTTGTATCCCAAACCAGGCTCGCTGCACTGAAATACATGCTGCAAACCCCCTATAGTGGCTTGCTTTAAAATCCTTAAGGTGGTGCTTATATTGCTGCAAGGTGACACTAGTCTTCTGCTGCGCCTCTAACTGTAGGATCTGCCCATTTAGTGTGCCCTACCTCGCCTTAGCATCCCTCTTCAATACAAATGCCACCTTTCACTCCCACTCCGACTTACTCCACGGCCCTCCCACATCTTTTACAATGAATACATGCCGAGAAGCCAAGGACCCCTGCTCTTAGGCCCTACTTGATGGTTTTCACCTAAAGCCACACCAGAGTTCATGCAATACAGCAAATGTGAGCAGAAGCTTGGAGACTCAGTGCGGAGTGCAAGTTCGTCTGCTTCTTTTGTGGGGTTGCGGCGACATGGGAACGCTGAGCTCTGATTAAAGGGCAGTGGGTAGACCTCAAGGCAGCTTGCCTTGACATATGCCTTGACGTATATCTACCCACCACTTTTCAATCGGAGCCAATCGGAGCTCGGTGTTCTGAAGTCACCACAGCCCCTGCAAAAGAAGCAGACGAACTTGCGCTTCGCACTGAGTCTCCAAGCTTCTGCTCACATTTGCTGTATTGCATGAGTGCTGGTCTGGGTTCAGGTGGAAACAATTGAGGTGGAAACCACTGCCAAAGAGGCAGACGAACGTGCGCTCCACTTCCATTTCGGTGGCCCCATGTCGTCCGCTACCCTCACCTGAATCCATCTCGCACTCCAGGCCAGTGCTGACCGAGTCGCACGGCTCGGCCGCAGACACGACGAGGCAGCTCCGGTGCTCGTCATAGTAGCCGCCCAGGAGTCCGATCACCTCCGTCTCCAGGAGGTGCGAGTGGATGTCCATTTGCAGCAGGGCAGACACGCAGACGTGGATGCCGAACGGCTCCTGCACAAAGACCCCGTCTTCGACGTGTTCGATCACCGAGGATCCGCGCGGTTACGGCACCCCGAACACGTTTCCAACCGGTGCGTTTACTGCGTCTTCAAAGGTAGCCCCTCTATCTTGGGGACCATTTTTAATGCGCAGGCGGGATGGGACGGTAAACGTGCCGGTCCGAGACGCGATCCGGGCAGCGTAGTACGGTCTCGCACTGAGCGTCACCTGGTTATCGTCGTAGGTTCTGCAAGGAATGAGCTTGAAAGGGTTCTGTTTCGGCTTGGGGATTTTGGCTCTGGAACGGACAAGGGTCTGCGAGATGACCCCGCCTCCCGAGTTGTGTTCCACCGTGACCCCTCCTCCCTTGACGTCGACGTTCAGCAGAGCACCTTCAGTTTAATATCGAAAGGAAAGTGATGTCACTGAATGTGAAGCATGCACCGAGTGCAAAGCATACACTAGGGGCATGCTTTGCACTCACTAGGGCATGTTCGGCAGACAGTTATGCATCAATGGATGGCTTGGATCTTCGAAATAGTGCTTAAACTGGAAGAGGACTTTAGTGAGAGGCAGGAGTGACCTAGGGAGGCTCTGGAAACACTCGAGGGCAGCCTGGCGGTGAACAATTGGGTTCCTAGGTACCCGGCTCGAGAACCCACGCTCTGTAAATAAACGGCCTCCTCACCAATGCTTGCTGCTCTCTTTCGCTGCGGCCTTTCCACCTCTGGCAAGGGGTCTTTCCGCTTGGCGGCCGCTTTAGTTTTCTTCGACGAGGAAGGGGCTTTCTTTTTCTTGTATGTCACTTGAGCTATTAGGCAATAGAGAGTCAAGAGCCATCGATGAGAAACTGATTGCATCACTTTGGCTAGAGAAAACGTGCAAATGAAGAGGCACTTGCAGCATCCAAAGTTGATGGCAGCCGTCTGCTCAAGGTAGTCGTGGATCCTTCCGATGCAGTTGACATCCCCACAGTTCTTTAGACCCTGCCTCACCGTAGTCTTGTTGAGGTACTTTGGCTTCTGATTCGCCCAGGCTTCAAGAATGAAGTTTCTTATCTTCAGATATCTGTGGAGAGGCACACTTTCTTCTTACAATGTGGTAATATACGAGCCCACTAGCATGACAAAGTGATGGCAGTTAACAAAGGTCAGTTTCTGCTAAGATCTATGTTCAGGGAGATGGGGAAACCTCTCAACATTTTCATTACTGTCACAACGCTGCAGAAAACATGGTGATAGTGACTGGTAACCAATGTTTATTCCTGTGCAGCTTGCACTTTATATAGAAGCCAGGTGAAAGAGGAGAGGAAAAGGGAGAGGGTAGGCAGAAAGATAAGATGGCAAGCGCCAACGTGCTGGTTGCACTTGGCCGATCTGCAACAATTACTGCTTTGATCAACTTTGGCCTCAGAAGATTCAGGTCAGTATATTGATAGGGTAGCAGAACTCAAAATGAAAATAAAAAGGAAATTCTTCCTGGCTTATGACACATTCCGGTAAAATTTTACATACCTCTCTGGTGTCTTAAACTGGGATATACCGTTGAAGAACTCGGCATGGATGGATTTTTCTTCTTCACTAATTGAAGACTCATCGACGACAACTTCTTGCGTTGGAACGTCGGACTCTTCACCAACGGGAAGTTGTTCTTCCGGCTCTTCTTTTGTGGAAACTTCGTCATGTTTGGAGGCTTCCCTGCCAGCCTTCGGAAGACTCGCAGGGCTCTCCATTTCAAGGTCAGCAAGACTTGGTCTCTGTTCTAGATGAGAGACGCCTACGGAATTACTTCTGTCGTCGTCGTCATCGAAACCCCTAGTGTCGCAATCAGTGTCCACGTCTATGTCAATGTCATCTTCCTCATCTGCAGACTTGTCAATGCTCACAATCTCACTGTCCGGGAACTTGTTCTTGAGCGTCTCTATGGCTTCAGCCTCCTTCAGCACGATGATGTCCTCGGCTTCTACGTCGGCCTGGGCCTTGGCTTTGACACCAGAGGACTTTTTGGGAGACCGGACAGCTTCCCTTGCAGCCCCCGAGTCATCTGCAGCGGCATTCTGATCAGGCTCTTGACCTTTGGCAGCCCGAGTCTGAAAGAAGAATGATCAAATTTGCTCAGGTGAATATGAAAACGAAAGAGGGACAAGAAGGAATATACAGACAACGTGGGGCCAGTGGTTTGCGGGCCCCAAATGCTTACATTTTTCTTCAGTAAGTAATGAGCGTGAGTCTTGACTTGAATGGTGTTCTTGGTTTGAATGATGGCGGCGATTTTGCTCCACTTATTTCCGTGCTCCTTCTGCAGAACGAGAGAACTAATTGCAACTCTGATTTGTATGAGCTGGCTTAGATAATGGGCATGTGGAAAGCAATGCAGAAAATTGGCACAGCATCAGAGCTAAACAGGCAAAGTAAGTACATTTGATCATCGCTAGTAGCCTATGCCTCACTTGTGTAGTTAAAACTTGGGACTCTTAGGCTAACGGTAAGCATGTATATGTACTACACGAAGCTGTCTTATAGCTTCTAAACAACTTGCTGATATATGCAAGTAGGTTACATGCTCTTGGCATTTTTTTTTTTATGTGGAGAATGGTTATTCCCTCTCTTGAGTGAATTTCTGTTGGGCAAATGGTCGCACAGGACCACTCTACAGTGCGTCCCTCTCACAAATAATAATAAAAAAAAAGATTAAGGATTCTTGCCATGCACTGTATCAGCTGTGCCTCCTCTTCTGTAGTCCATCGCTTTCGGGAACTTGAAGTGGTATTTGTTCGTGGCGAGGAGCTAGACGATCCAGCTCCGTCGGTTCTAGAGATTATGAGCACACAAAACGTAAAGGGAGAAGGGATGAAGACCTCAACCAAAAACAGGCACGAGCGTCTAATTGGGCATACCTATTTTGTGCCGGCGAATCGCCTAAATGGTTACTTCCGACCTCAACATCGGTCGTAGGATCCAGGCAAGCTGGTATCTGAAACATGAGAGCGGGGTGACCGTTTTTTTGGCTGATCGAAGGGGTGTACTTACTTGCTCGCGCTGCAAACATCGGTTTGTAAACAACACCTGACGTGCATCCACTCGCCACAACGGCTTGAATGTCTCGTCAAATTCGAGCAAATCGTCACAGGTAGAGTCCCTGAACAACCTACAATTAAACAACCGTCATTTAGCTCAGATAACTCTGCAAATAAAAATGAAGCGAAAAGATGCAAAAGCTTGGGTTAGCTGCGGGTGAGAATTTCAGCACATGCCACTGGCGCAGCTCGAATGGAAAAAAACCGTACTCACGCAGAATCGGCTTGGAATTCGCTTTCAACGTCGACAGCGTCCCAGGAACGAATATCGGTTTCATCAAAAGACGCCATAAGCATTACATACACACGAAATGAAAAAATAGAAAACTTCAATTTTCATGTCACACAAACGTCAGACGACAGAGATCCCAAAGTCGATGTCGACCGTGTGTTCGCTAGCTACTTTGCTTGCTACATTTTTCACGCTACGTTTTTGATTGCATTACGTCACCAGCGGCTTTATCCAACGTTGCTTTTACCTCTTGGATAGAAAATTTTAAAAAAATTGTTACAATAAATATTCAAGACTATTTCGTAAGCTTACAAAATGTTTTAAAGGCAGAAAATAAAAAAGACTACTAAAACTCCTGAAAATAATATATATTTTTTTTTTTACACTTAGGTGGCGCCAGCAATGTGCGCCACCACCACCATCATCATCGTCGGCGGTATAAAACAAATGTTTAAAAATGAGCTAATGCGGTTTCTCGGGTAGTTTTGTCGTATTTCACCAGTTTCGCTCGCACATTAAAATGCTCGTGGACACGGATGCTTACGTCGCCCGACCGTAGCCTAAAGGACGTTGGAACTACTGTCTAGTTTGTGAGATACGACAAAGCGAGCGCGGCGAGCACCACGGGCGCAGCGAACATGTCTTCCAAGTCGTCGAACCCATTGCGGTAAATCCGCATGTTTTCAACTTTCGCTCGCACAGTTCTCTTTCGGTGCCTTGCCCTAATTCTCCGCCGTATTTTCACGACCAACAGGCTGCCGGCGACGCCCGACATGCGACGACGGCCGTGCCGACATACACACGAGGCTGCGGGCAACGCCGACGACTCCCCAAACTCCGTCGACAAGACCGAAGACCTGACGGACTCGTTCAGCTCCTTGAGTTGCGCCGCCATCGAGCACGACGAGTACAAGTACTCGGACAGGAAGCACTCCGACCACATCCTCGCCGGTCTGAACGCCCTCCGTGCGTCGGGCGCGTTCTGCGACGTGCGGCTCTGCGTGGAAGAGGTCGAGTACCCGTGCCACCGAGTCGTTCTCGCCTCCTGCAGCCCCTACTTCAAGGCCATGTTCTCCAACGAAATGGCCGAGCGCACGCAGAACCGCGTCGTGCTGAATGGTGTCGAAGCGGACACCCTGCGTGACCTGCTGGAGTATGCCTACACGTCTAAGATAACCATCTCGAGAACGAACGTCCAGTCGCTGCTGTCGGCGGCCAACCTCCTGGACATCGGTCCCATACGGGAGACCTGCTGTTCCTTCCTAGAACACCACATGGACCAGGGCAACTGTCTGGGCATCCACAGATTCGCCGAGATCCACTCCTGCACTGACCTGCAAGAGAAGGCCAGGGACTTCGCATGCTACTACTTCACGCAGGTCATGCGCCAGGACGAGTTCCTTCAAATCTCGGCAAATAAGCTCGCAGAGTTCCTCTCCAGCGACGCCCTGATGGTGGAAAAAGAGGAGCTTGTGTTCGAAGGTCTACTGTCCTGGTACAGGCACAGCCCGGACACGAGGAAGGAGGACTTTGAGAGAATCCTGGAACATGTCCGGCTTCCACTCATCAGCCCTTACTACCTCAATGACAGCGTGGCCACCGTGGCAGTGATCTCTCAGTCGCCAAAGTGCCGCGAGCTTTTGGAGGAAGCCAAGTCTTACCACCTGCTCCCGGACAGGCGCCGCGAAAGGCACCATCAGAGGACAGTGCCCCGCGGCCAGGCGAGCATGACTGAAGTGGCGGTGCTTGTTGGCGGTGAGGACGAGAAGGTGGTCCTGCGCAACGTTGACTGCTATGTCTTTAGCACAAACTCTTGGCTCAGCTTGGCTTCGCTGCCGTTCGCGGTCAGCAAGCACGGCGTGGCTGCGACGGGCCACAACTTCCTCTTCATGGTGGGTGGCGAGTTTCCGGACGGCTCGGTTAGCAAGGCCACCTGGCGATTCGACCCGGCCCTCAACGTCTGGAATGAGCTCGCACCCATCGAGACCGCCAGGTCTGAGCTGGGCGTCGCAACGCTGGACGGCCTGGTCTACGCCGTTGGCGGCTGGGACGGCTCGGCGCGCCTGTCCTGCGTCGAGCGCTACGATCCGTCGTCTAACTTCTGGGAGACGCTAGAGTCGCTGAAGACGCCGCTCACGAATCCCGCGCTGGCTTCCCTGGACGGACGGCTCTACGTCGTAGGCGGAGCCGTCCTGGACGACGGCGATGGAGTGGACCTGGTGCAGTGCTACGACCCGAAGACCGATGCGTGGACCAAGCTGGCCCCAATGCTGATCTCGCGCTCGGGCGCTGCAGCGTGCGTCTTCAACGGCCGGCTGTTCGTCATCGGTGGTTGGCACGCATCCTATGAGAACACAAACAAGGTTGAGTGCTACGACCCCAAAACAAACAGCTGGGAGTTCCGCAAGTCCATGAAGGAGCGGCGCTACAAGCCCGGTGCTGCCGTCGTGGGCAGGCGGATCCTGGTTTTCGGCGGGGAGGAGAGTTGGGACCGCCACCACGTGTCAATGGAGGCTTACGATCCGGAAGCCGATCGGTGGTGTGATGTTTGGGACATGCCTCTCAAGAGGAGCTGGCTCGGATGTGCCACTGTCTCCCTACCGATCCACATGCTGGGGGGCGACAAAACCTGGTCCGATCCTGATGAGCATTGTTGAGCTCGCACTTATCTGTTGCATGATGGTTTTTAGATTGTGATACTGTCCGTTTTATTTTAGCTTATTTTACTGTGTCCTTGCCATGCTCTTGCTGTGTTTTATTGCGCAAGTTTTTGATGTTTGGTGAGAGGCAGAGTGGTAATACTCTCAATGCTTGAGGGGAGTGACTAGTCTATTAGTGGCGACTTTTTGTTGACCATGAAGGTGCACCTAGGTGAGACGATGTTCCACACACTGCAAATGTTCTGATGTTGGAGGGTCTGTATCTCTGAAGTAATGCTCGTGCATGCAGGCAATGTGCTTGTGGATTAAGAACCAGCAAGTCGTTGAAAGGTGTTCATTTTTAATGTCTCGGTTAATAAAACATATTTTATACATGATTGCCTTGTGATCAAGTGCTTCTCCCAGTTTTGTTCATTGTTTGAGCAGGGACTACTTCTGTCAACAAAAAACATTCCATACCAAATGCACTCTTGCTTAGATTGGCCAAGAGCCACGGACTAGAACATAGGATACCTTTTCTGCACAGTTTTAAGAAGCTCCTCGAATACACAGCCAATTGTGTATAGATGCAAATCGACTGCCGTAAAATACCGAGAAGGCGCCCACTCAAACTTTGGAGATAATCACAAAAAAATGGGGGATGGGAGCTAGTCCGGTCATCAATTTTAGATATAAATGCACTGTGCGCATTTTCTCAGATCTTACAAATTTGGTAACGGGTGCTTAATGGGCGGATGCATGGTATTTTACGGTATATCTACAGCATAGTTTGTCACATTCATTCGTCAAGTAATTCTTGCCTAAGCTAACTACCAAAATATTAAGCTCGAGCAAAACGTGTATATATCCTGGAAAAATTTTAGGCATATGGAGGCACTACCGAAGTGATTGCAGCTTAGGCCTCCAGATTGTAACACTGCTTTGAAGCCAGGTCGTATGCTCTCACAAGTAAGTTTGTGTCGTCTAGAGCCCTTGGTGGGATAAATTTTCCCCCTGTATTGCTAGGCTTGAGACATTTTATTCTTATTGGAACAGCAGGTGCACTTCTCCGGGAAGTGCACCGGATCTTTGCGGTCCGTCTCGTATTGGAAGAACACCGAAGGTTGTTCGCAAAATGGTCCTACCTCTATGCTTCCTCGCACATGCAGTGAATCAGTTAAAAAAAATGTTACTAAAAATATTTGTAGCTGTATTTGAATCTATCCTGTCAATCAAATTGACACAATTTCCACATCTTCAGGAAGCGAGCCCTCACTGTCTTTCCCCCTTTTTATTTGCAATGACTGGGAGAACACACAGCCAAGGATCGTTCACCTGTGGCTGCTTATAACCTAATGCCTTAAAACTCCTTGCTATTTCCGTACATTTTTTTTTTCGCACATCAATTTTTCATTATTGGCTTCAAAAACTTTCTGATGGTATCGTAAGCAACAATTTCTTGTTCATAGTCCGTACATTTGACTCCACAAACAGCGCAAAACCTTCGCTCCAGTGAAATGCAGTTCTGCGGCCACCCATAGGTGGTGCCAGCGGGCCAGTGTATCTTCTTGTCATAACAGATCATAAGATCAATGCGCTCGGTTGTAAGCACTCACAAGTGTGTAAACGAACCTAGTTGGTCGGACAGCTCAGTGTCGGGCAACTTGTCACATGTCGAAAATGCACAGTGTTTTCGACGGGTGACAAGCTGCGGATGCAGGTGTTTGGCAGACGGCCAACTCTGCTGCCTTCCGCTTCCCTCCGAAGCCACGCTTTGGATGACACAAAACCTGGGTCAGCCTCTAATGGAAAGCAATTTCGGATTGCTTTCCATTCCATTCTGAAATCGCTCCAACGAGCAATTTCGGATCGCGGGAAGTCTCAAAAGCATGCACCGAACACGAGAGCAGCAATCAAGTTGACGCCGCATACGACTGGCACCGTCTAAAATGAACTTTCAATTCTCCAGCTGATCTAACGAATGTGAGGAAGCACAAATACTTTGGCTTTGCTGGACTAGAGTTCCAACATCTGTTCTAACCACCGGCGGCAGAGACGGGAATTCTCTATGGAAACCCGTTGCGACGTGCAATGCCTTCTTCGGCTGCATATCAAGTAGCAGGGGCTTGACTAGCGTACAACCCCAAACCAACGTCCCCGAACGAAAAAAAAGAAAAAAAAGGGGGGCTCAAGACATCTGCTGCGACGCCAGCCGTGACCGCGTTTCACACATATCCATGCAGTTCGGTGCTCACAGAAAATCTTGAGCTGTAAAACGGTTAGGAAAACTCAAACTTTCACTGGATGTGGATTGAGGTGGTCAGATTTACCTTGCGAACTTTCAATGCACAGTTCTTTTCCTGTAAGAAATGAAACCTACAAACTTGCCAAAGTCAACTGCAGATGTTTTTGCAGACGACCAAATTAGAGATGAATGCAAGTCATGGCGCCATCTCCCAATAGGCACAGCGAGCAGATGATGCACTTAGTTGTCTTCTAGGTGTGTCTATATCGTTGCTAACTCGGTCGTCTGCGAACCCGTCCGCCACTGTGGCAAAATTGTTGATCTTATTTTTTACAGGAGATGAATTATGCCTTGAAATTCAGCGAGGTAAAACTGATCACATTATTGCACATGCGGTGAAAGTTTGAGCTTTCTATGCGACGGCGGCAAATTTTTCAGCTCGTTTTAGTGTCAGGTCTACTGTGCACACTCTATTGTGCACAGTAGCTCTGCTCTCTGCCAGTGAATTCAAACTCAGTGCATGAAACAATCAGGCGCTTCACTTCTACAGAGCGCATAGGCGGATAGTTGGCCGACATATTTCAATATTCAAAAGCTTTTGCCAAATTTGGAACAATTTTATGAGAAACGCAAGCCTCTAAATGCAGGAGAGCAAGAGGAACGACACCAATGGAACTTGCTGCCTTACAACTCAGACAACGGGCTGTTCGAAAAGCTACTGAAGCGTATTACTCATGGTGACTACAATCCGGCCTTACACATAGTGACTACTTGCACAAAATTAAGTTTGATATGTCTTTAGATATGCAAGGCACTGACACTTCAAAAATGATTAGAACATTGCTGACTTCATGAAATTTTCAACATCCATTTCGTTGAACATTTGTAGGCTGAAGATATTGCTGGAAACTTATAAGTTACCAACTTCTCCCGTCCCATAAAACAACAAAAATGCAGAGACGATATAAGGTAGTGGCCAAACAAAGTTAATCAGCTGGTTGGCAACAATGGGTGCTTACCTGTTTAGGTATATGTGTTTCATGGTAACAATTTGCTAGATATGGAGCTCAAGAGTGCCGCAATCGTCAAACACGAAGGATTTAGTCTATAAATAAACCAGTTCAATCCTAGCAACATTTTGACATAAAGTTGTCGGACAAATGCATAATTCCTATAACACTCCGTTCCGCACCTGTTCTAGAAAATACAAGATGCTCTCACGTCAAATACAATGGTAAAAAAATAGGACCCTATATCTAAAGCCCAAACCTCGGAAATTCCAAAGACCACCTGAATCGGCTATGCACAGGCATGTGTCTGACCCTTGTGGATGTTGCTTTGGAATTAAATGCATCCTTGCAATACGTTGTGCAGTTGCTTATTGGGGTATAGGAATGTCTTGAGTGAGGGGGGAGCGATTTCTGTCATCCACTAGTATATACAGCTGTGCGTACTTTGAAAAGAGCTCTCTTTATCACCAGTTTGATGTTCAGCTGCATAGTCGAGATTGCTGAAATACCACCGTTTTTCGTTGGCTACAATTTGCATGGTAACAAGTATTAGCTATAGAGTGCTCTTGAGCACTATTCAACACGCAACAAAAAGTCGTAAATAAGCCAACGAACAGAATGTAATGAAATACATCTCAGATGTGTCTTTAGGTGGTGCATTTAGCGATCATAATTTCGCAAGTAGGTTACTGGAGAAAAATAAAATAAATACAAGGAAAAAGGCTGCGCCAACTAGGCGATTTATTTTCTATTTTCTTTTCTTGCTTCTCTCTTTTCGAGGAATTAACGAACACAAAATTTGAGTGTAATAGAAACATCACATTATGGACAGCTTTGCAAAAATGTTTCAATGTACTTCGTTCATAGGCTTATTTATCTTTCTTATTTTACGACTGAATGGCGCTCAAGAATGCTCTGTATATTGTTTTGCATTGCCAGATGATGCCATTAATTGGTGCACAATCAAATCCCCGAACTAAACATCTCATGGCTGTAACACTTTTATAGCCTGCCTCACCTTAACATAGACTGCCACAAATGTTATACAGGCACAAGCTCATAACCTATGTTTGTGTACCTGCTGCACATTAGTCTGCTCAGTTAAGGTGCATGGAGTTCGAGCTTGAGCCTTTGCTGCAGTCCACATAAAGGCAAGACAAAGTATGGCTGATTGTAAACGCAAATGCCCCGGCAAAACATGAATCGTTGTTACACTTGTAAGCAGCCTGTTGTAGCCTGGCTGCAATAAATTCTCTGAAACACCTTGTTTGCTGCAAGATACAGTGCCATATCGCAGAGCCGAGCCAAAAAATGTGGCTGCGAAACATGCCGCACAAACATGATATGTGACCCGTACACTTTAGGAAAACTTGGCACCATCCCTTTCACGATCAACCTGTGATGACGACAATGCACCGAAAAAAAGAAAGAAGAAAGGGGATGTTGAAAATGTTCAAGAAAGGTTGCACGTTTTACATTCAAGTGCACTGCACTCCAAATACGGTGGCTTTGTTTCTGCTTTGCAGGAAAAGCTTTGTGACGAAGCCATCCCATCTGTGTCCCTTCTGAGGGCAATCTAGGAAGCGCAGATTATCTCGCAGTAGAACATATCACAAAGTACAGTCCGACATTCTCTTTCATTTCGTGTTGTCTTGAACCATGCATACTCAGGCAAGGTAGCTCCTCACCTGAAATGGAAAGAAAGCATGCATGTTAATTAAATAAAGACGTCACCACAGTTAACTAAAAGTTACACTATTGTATACCCCTGGTAGCACAACAAAGAGGTTCAATTACACAGCATGTTTATCACACTCAAGGGACGTGTGCTATGTGTGAAGCAAAAAAATTAGCTTGTGGCCTAAATGCCCGTTCACACACTTGCGACACTTTTGGACCGAGCGCCTTAAAACATCTCGAAAGATATATGCAAAGGAAACCAAAATTATTTTAAACAGACTGAATGAAAGAAGGATGTCATGAAAAAAAGGCGGGGATATTTGGCCGGCAGTCGGCACAACCCGGGAAAGAATTGCCAGCAGTTTCGGATGGCACGTGTATGTATGGACATTGAGTATGCAATTCGGAAATTCTAGTGCTTTGAAACGGTGGATTACAAAATACCGCATACCTTTTTAGAAAAGCCCCTTTATTGCTTAGAATGTTCCTCTTAACGTTTTGCTGACATTTGGCAAGTGTATAGTATAATGATATCTTACTGAACGTTGCTCTAGTGCTATACAATGCTTAGGCTAGTAGGAATGCTTCACAAGTGTTATTACAATGTATATCTAGCATCAACTTTAATGTTAAACAAACATTACATAATAAAATATCGTAAGAATCCCCGCCCCCGAGAGATCGCCCATCCCGTTTTTTTTTACTGAATCCATAACATAAAAATTCCAATCCCCCCTCTTGTCCTCCTCCTCCTCCTCCTCCCGCTCCGATTCCCGCCGGATATCGATCACGCGCGATGTCCGACGAAAATCAGATCAATCGCGCGATCTACGCTACCGGCACGTGCGTATGACAAGCGTGTTCCTTTCCTTCGTATTTATCGCACTCTGGCACAAGAAACTGCCGCGTTCGCGATCTGCAGTATCAGTTCCTGTCACACGCAAATTCGTAGCTCCTTCCCAAATTTTTTTTTTTTTTCGCGATTTGCACGCGATGTCGGTTTTTTCGATACGCGAGTTTGTAGTGGTTTCCCGCGTGTTTATTGCCCCGTGAAAAGCGGATTCGATGCGTCCGCAATTTGCGGTATTCGTTCCCGTGACATGAGAGTTCGTGGCGCGCGGTTTCCCACGCTTTTGTCAGCGATTTGCGCGCGCGATATCGGTTCTCGTGGCACGAGTTTGTAGCGGATTTTCGCGTGTTTAGCGAACCGTGCAGCGCGAATCTCCTACGCTGGTGCTCTGCTGTATCTGTTCCCGTGACAGGCGAGTTCGTAGCGAATACCTGTGTTTATCGCATCGTGGAACGCGAATTCGTCGTGCTCGCGATCTGAGGTATCAATTCCCGTCCTACGTGGTTTGTAGCACGAGAAAGGGAGGGGGAAGAGACGTTATTACAAATTTTTGAAAACATTTTGCTGTAAAATTTTTTATATCCTTTACCTTTATCTGTTCATTTTGGGTGGACGTTCTTATGGTACAGTATGTTGTGGAAATATATACTGTGAGAGTTACAGTAACATTTGGTAAAAAATAGAATCAATGACATTAAGGACATTTTTCTAGTGTTTCTGACAAAGAAATTGCTATGTTAAATTTTTCTGCTACCTGGAAAGAACACATTCAATCTTAACACACACACACACAGAAGAAACTCATTGTTTTTTTTAAATTATAGTATTGCTTACCAATCATTCATCAACATGAATCAAAGGCGCAACAACGACAATAAATTTGCAAAAGGTTAGAAATAATTCCTTATTAAAGGTTGTGAGCATCCCAGACTCCCAGCCCTGGGCTAAGGTTGTTTGCAATAGTAAACAACTTCTCACTTATTCTTGTTCTGGACTGACCCAGAGCCTTTTACCATAGTTGTCAGTTTCAGGTTATATAATTTAATACACAAACGTGATGCAGCTGCTAAGACCATTTGTACTGAAGTTAAATATAAAGAGATACCACGGTCTACTGAACCGAAATTTAGATTTCGCAACGTGAGGCCGCAGAAGCGTTGATGGGAAGCTACGAACTTCAAAACATCACTCATACATCAATATCTCGAATGGATCGTCATAGTTTAGGAAAAGAAGGGCTCAATCAAGCGAGGGCTATGACGTCACGATCCTCCTGGAACAGTTGAGAATGAGGGGAAGCGGCCTCACTTCTATCTTCCTCGCTTCGGTTCATCACTCGACGGGACGAAGCGAGGAGGAGAGGGAATGAGAACCGTGACGTGAGTTGTCTTGTTGGCCTTGTCGGCAGCGTTCAATCGCGCACTTCTTTAAAAAAAAATACGGCGATCTCTTAGACATATCGCTGTATGAGTGATGTTTTTGGGTTTTGCAGCGTCCTGCCTATCAGTCAAGTCTCGTTGTGTGGACTCGAAATTCCGGTTCAGTATCCCTTTAAGTCAGTTTTAGAATCATGCTCGAACTCACACTGCTGAGATGAACTTCGGTGAACAGTATGAGCGTTCCCAGCTCTGCAAAGCCAATGAATTGAACCCACGTCAAAAACTCCTGGAAGAAAAAAAAAACCTTTATTACATCAAAAAGTTTATTCTACCAGCACCACACACGCTTGTACCCACGGCCGGACCATCAAGCACCCTGGGCAAACTACAAACGTGGAGTGATAAAAACAAGAAGTGATGAACACAGAAAAAAAAAAAAAATGTCCCGTGCTCCACAATGTTGAGGTGTTATAAAAAAAGAAGTCAATGTGTTTGGACCATTGCATGAGTAATGCTATCAGTCACATAGCCCGGTTTCAGACCTAAGTTACTTTTGAAGAGAATCCCTTAAATTAAGGAAAAGAGCTATGGAATGTACTCACCCACATACGATTGACAAAAATAGCACACAAAAACATCTCCATGAGGGCATGAGCATTGGATATCCGCCAGAACCACATGATAATCCACATCATCGATGAACGAAGCACCTCTGTTTGAGCAATCTAGAAACCAGAAAGAGAAGAACACAAGCACATGTCAAGAGTAAGATACCTGTTACCACTGAGTGACAGCTAGCATATGGGGTTGAAAGTCTATATCCCAGGTAGCACCAAAACATTATAATAATGTTATTTTTTTGTTTGGCCCAAATGTTTGAAATATGTCCTTAATGTCATTTTATTTAATATTTCCACAATGTTTATCTGTTCGTTAGATTAATGTTTTTCCATACGTTATTTGAACACACAGGAAACATTCCTTCAACATAAATTTAATGTTTGCAAAACGTTAAATTAACATTGAAGGAACATTCGAGAAACACTTTTACAACCGGTATGCAACGTTTGTAAAACATTAAATTCACATCAAAGAAAATGGTACTGCTACACTAGCAGAATATCCACAAAATGTTAGAAAGATCTTTTCAGTTGACGAAGACAAAAATATTATAAATCAGACGCAACCGCTACCCATGCAGTTACGCCTCTGCTGTGAACAAGGCGAACTGCATGGGTAGCAACTGCGTCTGATTACAATACTTTTGTCTTCAACTGAAAAGTTCTTTCTAACATTTTGTGGATATTCTGCTAGTGTAGCAGTACCATTTTCTTTGATGTGAATCTAATGTTTTATAAACTTGCATACCAACAAAACTGCAGGTAGTCAAAGCTGAAAGAAGGGTGTTGGAAAGGAACCTCCTTGAAACCCAACGACAGGCAGTGTTTCACTACAGACATGGCTTTTCTGAGGGCTGAAAAAGCTAAGACTTGCAACAAAATATTGCGTCCTGGGTCTTCGAGGAGGTCCTTTTTCACATACATAGCAATGTTTTCCAGAAGATGAACCACCGGACTCCAGTGCGCAATACACATAACGGGAGAGAATTGACTGTATGCACCTTTTGAAGAAGCTTGATCGTAGCATGTCCGTTAACTGAGGAAAAGAATGTTTGTGAAAGGCACAATATTGCACACTATTAACAAAAACGCTAGAATTAACAAGCTCCTTTTCATCACAGCACATATTGAGACGAAATAATTGCAATTTACTACCCTTGCAAAGATGAAATCAGTCAGGTACATGTACTAAAACATTTATTGTTTCAAATTAAACCAAAAGCATATACATACGAGTAAGGATGCTGCTAGACTCAGCTGTTAAAATGACAAGCCAATAACTTAAGACAAATCTGTATGTACTACAGAAACAAGCTTGAAACTGAGTAGAAGTGGTGACTAGAGCGGGTGAAGCTTGAAGCTGAGCTAGTTGGCTCATTGCTCTATATAGTGCCAGCTGAACATAAAAGAAGGGTTAGAGAGAGAGATAAGAAAGGCATACACCGCTGGACTAGGAACTGTTTCATCAGATCATCTTTCTCTTCATCTACATTGAGTTTCACTTCCTCTTTTTTTCTTATCTACATTGCATTTGATTTAATTGAGGAGTTCTTCTTCTAATCTTATACCCAAGCATCTTCTCATCTTCCATCTGTCCGCCATAAGTGCGGCCCTCTAAGGTACTCAACTTCCTTGTTGTGTAGTGCGATGGAAGGCACACACACACACTCGTCTGCCTTTGCGTCAATAGCAAGGGCCTCCAGGATTTCTCGAGTGAACTTGTGGCGGTTTCTTGCTAGGATGGTTAGGCTAGAAAACTCTGGTACACACCGGCACATGTGACAATGGGCGGGTAGGTCCCCTGCTGCAGTGGTGGCCTTCACCGAAGCTGCATGTTCCCTAGTCTGGTCACCGATGCACCTTCCCGTCTGTCCAATGTAACATTGACCACATGACAGTGGGATTTGGTACACAACCTCCTTCTCACATTCGGTGTGCTTGGTCTCGTGAGATACCTTGCAGTTTGTCTTCTCCTTGTTGGTCCCTTTGTTTACATGATGGAAAGTTGCACACAAAGAGACGAGGAAGGAACACAGAAGACAGACAGCACGATTCATGACAGGGGACATCGACACCAGGGGGTCGAGTTCAGTCGCAGAGGAATATTCGCAAAAAGGCAAGTTCTCTTTCGCTCATGCAACCGACGGCTGACTAACGCAGCGATCGGCCAGACTCAAGATGGTGAACGCCCTGAGCACCTCGCGCGTTTGTTTTTCATTAAAGCGCCCAATGATTGAGGTTTTTTCTAAAGATGGTGTGCAGATAGAGGTCTTACAATGCACCAAAAGGTTGACCTCATACAGTTTATGATTGTGCTCTCGCAGCCAGTCATTCGAACACTGTCTAGTCTGTCCGACCTAGCATCTTCCACAGGAAAGAGGAATGCTGTATACAACGCTCGATGAACAGGAAAAAAAAGGCTGCACATGTTTTTTGTGGCACGTGTTTTTTATAATTTGTTCTCTTTGGCGCAGACCTTAAACAAATTTGTCATATTTTTTTAGGGGCTGATATTACTGTGGGCACAGCACACCTACTTGCCACTTGTTTTAGATTGTATCTACACAAGATATCGCATAATCTAAAACAAGTGGTAAGTAGGTATGGTGTGCCCGTAGTATTATCAGCCTCTAAAAAGATGTGACAAATTTGTTCTAAGGTTTGCGCCAAAGCGAAAAAGACACGCGCCACAAAAAACATGTGCAGCCTTTCACTCCTCGTTCATTGAGCGTAGTGTACAGCATTCCTCTTCCCTGTGGAAGATGCTATGTCGGACAGACTAGAAAGTGTTTGAATGACTGGCTGCAAGAGCACGATCATAAACTGTATGAGGTCAACCTTTTGGTGCATTGTAAGACCTCTATCTGCACACCATCTTTAGAAAAAAATCTCAATCATTGGGCACTTTAATGATAAACAAACGCGCGAGGTGCTCGATGCGTTCACCATCTTGAGTCTGACCGATCTCTGCGTTAGTCAGCCGTCGGTTGCTTTGAGCGAAAAAGAAGTTGCCTTTTTGCGAACACCTCACTATGACTGAACTGTTTACCCCCTGGTGTTGATGTCCCCCGTCATGAATCGTGCTTCATCTTTTCTTTCTTCACTTAATATACCAGAGTTGCGAGTATGCGCCTCTCTGACTTCTGTGTTTTTCCCTTGTCTCTTTGTGTGCAATTTTTCATCATGTAAACAAGAGGGCCAACAAGGAGAAAATGAACTGCCAAGTACACCAAATGTGAGAAGGAGGTTGTGCACCAAATCCCATGTCATGTAGTCAATGTTACATTGGACAGAAGGGAAGGTGCATCAGTGACTAGACGAGAGAACATGCAGCTTCGGTGAAGGCCACCACAGCGTGCAGAGCACCTACCTGCCCATTGTCATATGTGCCTGTGTGTACCAGACTTTTCTAGCCTAAACATCCTGGCAAGAAACCGCCACAAGTTCACTCGAGAAATCCTGGAGGCCTTTGCTATTGACGCAAAAGCGGACAAGTGTGTGGGTATACCTTCCATCGCACTACACCACAAGGAAGGTGAGTATCTTAGAGGGGCCGCACCCATGGTGGACAAATGGAAGACGAGGAGACGCTCGAGTATAAGACTAGAAGAAAAGGAACTCCTCAATTAAATCAAATGCAGTGTAGATAAAAAAGAAGAGAAACTCAACGTAGATGAAGAAAAAGATGATCTGATTAAACAGTTGCTAGTCCAACGGTGTGTCTTTCTTATCTCTCTCTAATCCTTTTATGTCCAGCTGGCACTATATACAATTGCCATGTGTAGAAGCAGTTAGAAAAACTTGATTACTAAAACGGTATCGTATTAAAGAAAAGCCGGAAAGGACTGACTAAAGCCTGTCACTAGACTAGAACAGAAGTCGAGACATTAAATAGGCCTATTGCCGCTTTAAAAAGTAAAATATGACAATAGAATATGAAATAGGCTGAAGAAACTCTAGAACAGGACTAGACAGAAAAAAAAAATTAAAACAAACAGACTTTCATCTTCCCAAGTCAAACCACAGTAAAGCCTGTCACTAGACTAGAACAGAAGTCGAGACATTAAATAGCCTTATTGCCACTTTAAAAAGTAAAATATGACAATAGAATATGAAATAGGCTGAAGAAAGTCTAGAACAGGACTAGACAGAAAAAAAAAAAATTGAAACAAACTGATTTTCATCTTCCCAAGTCAAACCACAGTTTCTGTCGATGGGATGTTTTCGACTTTTCTGGCTGCAAACAAAACAAGAAAATAATTAATACAGAGTGCCGGAAACTAAATTTGAGGTGGCAAATGATCATAATACGTGGAAAACATAACAGTGTAGCTTAATTCGAAATTTAGCTTTGTGACAATGGTTTGCAGGTTTGGAAACCCCTCAAGAAATTAGGGTGTACTAGAAATATCCTAGTGGGAAAGAGAGTTCATATAGAGCCGCAAAAAGGCTGACCTGATTTCCCACATAACTACGAACTAAAAGAAAATGACAATCTTGTTCAAGTGCTTAAAACAGTGAATTGATTGCAAAAAACAAACAAAGTAGCAAACACTTATGACAAGAGACAACACAGGTACATCTCTCAACTAGCAAAAATAAAATAATGCCTTGTGGTAGTTTATTGATGTTGCTAGTTGAACTGTACACCCGTGGCATCTCTTGTCATAAGTGTCTCTCTTTTGTTTGTTTCTTAACTCCCACCAACATGCTATCAAATCCTTTAATTTGTTGTTGAGTCACTTGTACCTAGTAGTTGTCAGTCCTCCTGCTCAAGCAAACCAACATTGAAACACGCGACAAAATACACCTTGTGACGACCCGGAGCTGAGCTTGTTGGTGCAGCGCTTGTCGATGGGGCCAAATGAACCTACAGCACAAAAACAGGAAGAGAGAAAATGAGACAAACACAATGCCGGACTAACTTCATCCACATACTTTATTTACAAAAGAACCAGTTGGCCCCGTCTGGGGCCAACCTGCTCCTGTGTAAATGAATAAAAATGCACTCCATTAAACAGTTTAGTCCAGCATCGTGTTTGTCTAATTTTCTCTGTGTTGTCATCTTGTATGTTCAGCTGGCCTCACCCAATAGCAACACACAA